GTACATGCCGACCAGCCGACCATCCAACCAGTCAAGGGGTGCCGACCGTCCGGGTATGCAACACTGGTTGGTACAGTAAACCCTGGTCGCTGGTTGGTAAAGTGATTATAACCCTGGTCGATGGTTGGTAGACTGAATTAACCACGGTCGTTGGTTCGTAAAGTGACTTAAACCACCAGTACTTGGCCCAGCTATTGAAGCCGAGCCTGAATATGCCCTGCGCGCCAATTTTTGTCGAGCCTGCCGGGGGCGGGAACCAACATGGGACATTTGATGCTTGGCACAGGTACCACCCTTATTCTGGACCTGCTGCCAGCAGCTGGAATGCAAAGCGGCGATAGTTTTCTTGTTTCCACTCGTGTACATGAAAATGGCCTGGGCAGAACTGCATCCAGATCCATCTGGAAAGATCTCATTGGAGCAGAAGCACAAACAGCCGAGAATCTTGAAAAGGAAAAAAAAAAAAAAAAAAAAGGTGCCAAGCTCTGAACGCCATTGCCCTCAGATACATCCGCTGCTGCAGCGAAGTGCAGCCAGATACATTCTGGAAAGTGCTACGTCACAGTGAAGCCCTGGAATTGAAACGGTTGGCACACATTGAATGCTTCCCGTCTCTCACGGGGAGCAGAAGCACAAACAGCCGCGATACCGCTTCCAAAAAAACAGAAAACAAAAAAAAAACAAAGGGGAGAAGAGGTACCAAGATCTGAACCCTCAAATACATCCTCTGCTGCACCGAATTGCAGCCAGATACATTCTGGAAAGTGCAGCCAGATACATTCTGGAAAGTGCTACGTCACAGTGAAGCTGTGGACTTGGAACCGTTGGCAAGCATTGAATGCTCCCCGTGTCTCACGGGGAGCAAAAGCACAAACAGCCGAGATACTGCTTCCCAAAAAAAAACAAAAAAAAAAAAAACAAAGGGCAAACGAGATACCAAGCTCTGAACGTAATTGCCCTCAGATTCATCCACTGTGCCCACAAGTACAGCCCGATACATTCTAAAAAGTGCGAACGTTACAGGGCTGGCGGGCACTCATGAAAAACCAGTTTTCTTCCAAAAAAAAAAAAAAGAAAGAAAAGCAACGATCTGTTTTTTTTTTTCCTTTCTCGTGTTGCAGTTCCTTTTCTTTTCTCTTTTCCCCCTCGTCGCCTTCAGCCTCCGAACGTTTCCACATAGCACGGCACCAGGACATCTTACAGTCCATTTGCCCCCTTTTTTGTGGGCCCACGCACGTCCTCTTCCATTGCACTGCCGGGCCTTCCCCGAAACCCAAAAACTGCGGCGCGTTAAATGGGAAGGCCTGCGGCCCATGTATGGGCCAAGTACTGGTGGTTTAACCCTGGTCGTTGGTTGGTCAAGTGACTTACCGCAACAACAGGGACACCGGAAGCCATAGCCTCAAGAACCACAAAGCCTAGCGTTTCTGTCTCGGAGGGAGTGAAGAACAGGTCACCACTTGCATACGCCTGCGAAAGGTCTTCTCCCTGCAATGACCACAGCCAGACAGACACATAAGAGAGAAGTTCAGGAAACAAGGTGACGGGTCCTCCATAACAAATAGAGCACCTGTGGGGTGTAACAAATATAAGGCGCTTTTACAAAGATGGGTTAATTCAAGCATGTGCTAGTTTTGGAAAGTCTTCTCAGCCAAGAATCACTACGCATACTGGTTCTGGACTCTGGAGTATGGAGTGTATTTTCCGGGAGGGGGCGTTTTTTTTGGCTTTGGGAGGTGGTTCGGGCCACGGACTGGGTAGGACTCCGGTGATCAAGACCTGCTCTAGTTTCCTGGGGAGTGTTTTTTAGGCTTTAGAGGGTGGTTTGAACCTACAGCCAGAGGGGTCCTACCCAGTCCATGGCGCTGAATCTTACACACACGAAACTGTTTTCGATAAACGGATCATGAGTTTGAAATTTGAATCTTGATGGACTCAGATAGATACACGAAGGTAAGGGGCTGCTGCCAAAGTAAAAGTCAAAAACAAAACAAAAAAAAGGAAAAAAAAAACAGTCCATGGAGTCCTGTGTCTGGTGTGTGTGTGGGAGATATTCTTTGATATTTTGTGTCAAAGGTGCGCCAGCGGAGTCTTCTTTGATATTTTGTGTCAAAGGTGCGCCAGCGGAGTCTTCTTTGATATTTTGTGTCAAAGGTGCGCCAGCGGGCCGTGGTTGACGCCCACCTCCAGCCGGGGCTAAGACAGACTATCGCATACAGTATCATTCGTTAGGGGGGTCTGCAGACTGCTGAGGATTCAGAAACTTCACCACCAGTTTCAGCCTCCTGACGAGTTAGTGAAAGTGCAACAGAGCGGTCCGTCTTTTCCGCCCTTTTTACCCTCAGCACTGTCAGCACTGTCAGCAGGTGAAGGCTCACCGGACACTTTCTCTCTGACGGATTTTTTAAATTTGTACATCAGATGCCAATATATGTGACGAGTCTGTCAAAGTCTCAAAGTTACATTAAATTCTGCAGCAGATTTAAATCACCCTCATGGGCCTCATCCTCAAATTATTTTGAGAATTTTTGACCCATCCTCTCCTCTGTTTTCTGCAGCAGGCCGTGCAGGCTGCACGGATGCCAGGCCCGGCATCACTGGTAGCCTAGAGAAACAAATCAAATTATTTATTAATGGCGTTACGTAGGTAATAGGTATTCAATCTTTTGTATTGCTGCACAGAACAGAGGAGAGGATGGGTCCAAAGAATTTGAGGATGAGGCCAATGAGGGTGATTTAAATCATTTGATGTAATTTTGACTGGAAATATAGGTGACGAGTCAGTCAAAATTAGTAATTAGTAATTACATAAATTTAAAAATTCCGCCTCATAGGCCTCATCCTCAAAGGCTCAAATCATAGTTGCGGCGCACCTCGGTGCGCGGATTTGCGCACGATTTGCGCACCGCACTGTAAAAATTAAGTCCAAAAAAAAAAAAAAAAAAAAAAAAGTAGGGGTTTTGTCATAACTCGGCAAAAACCGCGCGAGCTAGCAAACCGGCTGCCGCGCCCCCGGCCCGAACTTTTTTTTGGCTGCCGAATTTCAATTTCCGCAGGCCCTACCCCCAGAAATTTCAAAAAGGCAAAGCATAAAATAGGGCCCATTCCAACTTTTTTCTTAGGCGGGGTATGGAAACTGGCCTCCCCCCTCCCTTCCGCAAATCCCACGCAGTGGTGGGGTAAGTTCGAGAGAAAGGAGTAGTCGCCTAGTACCGATCTGCCCCAAGAACATTGCAGAAGTCACAGGTTACATTTTCATGTGTGGCTAACCACCAATAAATTCTGAAGGTTGGTGTTCAGGTCTGCATGTCCGCAGTTATGGGTTAGGATGAAGATGCCCGTAGCTCTCTCGTTTTTTTGTTTTTGATTTCTTATGAATACGTACAGTGGGGCCTGCTCCACTACTCACCACATGCACAAAAGACATAGCATATGGCGGTGTATGGTTCCATGTTTTAGCAGAACATTCATTCTACTAATATTGTATACATTTGGTGAGTGGTGGAGGGAGGCCCTGAGAATCACGTGGAGACACGAACAGGCTCTAGCTGAATTGGTGACCCATAACTGCCGAGCTACAGCCTTGAACTCAAATCCAAAGCATATATTGGTGGTCTACCTCTTCCTCTTATACACATCTAGATGTGTATAAGAGACAGCATTTGGTGAGTGGTGGAGGGAGGCCCTGAGAATCACGTGGAGACACGAACAGGCTCTAGCTGAATTGGTGACCCATAACTGCCGAGCTACAGCCTTGAACTCAAATCCAAAGCATATATTGGTGGTCTACCTCTTCCATAGATAACGAGACCATCCTCCTAATTGAAGCAGTGGTCCTCGACGACTCCACATGTAACGTAGGAGTCATTCGAGGTACGTGCAGGGGCCCTCGAATTGACATGAAGGGGACCCTTTGTTATCTTCTCTCTCTCTCTCTCTCTCTCTCTCTCTCTCTCCTGTCTCTTATACACATCTAGATGTGTATAAGAGACAGACACACTGGCATGGAAGTCTCTTGGTAAAGAAACCCCAACATCTCACGTCCTCTCATCTATGCAACCAGTATGTAGCAGCTTTACTACGATGTCACTGCCTATACTACTCTCCTACTACCCCTTTCTCACACTCCTACTAGGATGGCACACACAAATCGAGTGTGCTCCTTGGCCATCACCGCCTACATCAGGCTGTCCCCACCGTTGTCCTTCTCCTCTTACCTGAGAGTCACTGCCACCCCACGTCCTTCCAGAGCAGCTATGGCTGCCGCTAGCTGAGCAGTTTGTCAGCGCTGCTCCTCCCTCTTCCTCAACGAGCACAGGACTGGCTGTGAGTGCTCGCAACAGAGCTAACGCTGGCAGCCAGTGCTTTCCTATGTGTAGAATGCAGTGCCCTCCTCCCTTTTGTTACTTCCTGGAGGCCATGTCTGAGTTTCTGAGGACCGACCGGGCCTGAGCCTGGGTTCTGGTCTCTGCAACTAACTCAGAGGCTTGGTCTACTTGTTAGTGGGGGGAGAAGAGGGTTAACAGAGCCCTAAATTTTCAGGGGTAGCGTTTTTTCAGGGTCAGTATAACAAACGTCCCACACCTTTTAAGCCAGACTTGGGGTCCAGCCTCTTTCCAGCCATATCACGTCAGCCTTTTCTCAGTACTGGCAGAATTGCTTACTGCCACAGCCTTCACTAGGGGACGCGGCTATTCTCTGTGGGCGGCCCCTGCTGAGGCTCACCAATGCCTGAAGCCACGCGTTCCCATCCCCTTAGGTTAAAACTTCAAAGCCATCTGCAAAACCCTCAATCTTGCCGTTGCTTCCCTTTCATAGCCCTTTCGTAATGTAGGACCGTCTGAGGTGCAGACTTGATTAGCGCTTCTTGTAAGGTCCCGTGGATCCTAAGGAAGACGTGACCTTAGAAAGCCCTCTGAACAATACCTTTCTCGGCAGTTTTCTAAGATCAAGTGTAGTATCTGTTCTGATCAGTTTAATATCTGATCCGTGGTCCATCGGACCACATAAAAAAAAAAAAAAAAAAAAAAAAAAAGAAA